TTCCGCTCGATTTTCTGCTGCTTCCGCTGATGGTTGCTCGTCGACGGATCGAGTTTCGTCGAGACACGTCCGGTTTATAAAACGATGCTCGTAAAGGGAGAAATCGTAAAGGGAGGGAATGACGGCGAGCGTGCCGAACGTCCGGTGAAATCCGAGGGGATCGCGATACCGAAGGAGCCTGCTGAAAAATCGGCAGAACGAGCGCGAAAGAAGCGGCGAATCCGAGAGGGTGAAAGAGACAGGAAAGGAGGAAAGAAAGGGTGGGAGGAGTGTGGAGGAATGGGGAAAACAAAGCGCGCGGGGATGGAAGGTATCCGCGACAGAGATCAGACGTCGTCGACCGGTGGGCGTGTATAGATATAACGCGAGCAGGTAGACAGGTAGGTACGCGTGCTAGCGTAGAAGAGAACGGGAACGGGATTGGAAAGGGAACGAGGACGGGGTGCACGGGCGAAAGGGGGGAAAGTGGGATCGGCGGGAAGGAGGAAGAGGGAACGGAGAACGCGGAGGGCACATAAGTCCGTGGCTGACATCGGTGCAACCCTCGCGTCGGACTCGAGTATCGACAGATATTTAAATGAATATTCCTCGGCTGTTAGGGATCCGCTCTTTGAAATCAAAGCAGAAGGTACAACGGTTCATTTAGACGTCCGCCGATATCCCGCGCCAGCCGGACCCGTGGATACAGGATTTCGCTTGTCACGTCATTCGAGGGTTATCGCCGAGACCGGCACGATTCCCTGCTAGTACAGGCTATCGGGGCGAGAGAGAGAGAGGAAGAGAGAGAGAGAGAGAGAGAGAGGAGTCGCGTGTCCCTCGACGACCCCGTTTGTCCGGCACACGCACGCGGACTTGTACTTTATCCGCGTCGGTTATCCGCTTTCGAGCGACGCGATCGCTCGATATCTCTGCCCTGTCTCGCGACCGTCATCCCAAGGTTTTCGCCATCGCGACCGCGCGTATTCTCGTCCTTGCTTACACGCTCGTCCCGTTGCATCGTCGCGAGACGCGGTGCAAAGGCTCGGACTGTGGCCGAAAAGACGAACCGTTTCCCGATTCTCTCCTTTCTCGCAACGATCGCCGACTCTCTCGGCTATTTCACGACGGGTGTCGCGAATACACACCACCCTCTCTCTCTCTCTCTCTCTCTCTCTCTCTCTCTCTCTCTCTCTCTCTCTCTCTCTCTCTCTCACGCTTTGGAAAGAAGCGATAGGACGGAAGAAGAAGGCATGCAAGCACGGAGACTCGCCGACGCGACAAACGCGACAAACGCGACATACGCGACGTAGTTTTACTACGCAAACTAAGAGGTGCGTGCATACGTGGATACGTGTTCGTGCTCGTGCGTGTACCGATGCGTTGCGTGGTTGAGATATTTACCGGTAAGATTATCGCCGCGTTGCTGCGGCCACCGAAAGGAAGGCCTCGGCTGCTGCTTGCTGCGCATGTCTCCCGTCCGGTGCGGCGGCTGCGGACCGCTCGCTTTTCAAACGATCGGAGACCACTACTTACCTGAAAGAGAAAAAGTCAGAATGGTGAGAAAAATCGCGTTTGCCTGGGCGAATTCGGTGAAACGAGGGTGTCGAAACGGGCTGGTACGAGGGGAAAAAGAATTTTCCAGCCAGTTCGGGTCGCGTTTTTCCGAACGATGGCTAACGGGCGAATCGCGTCCCCCGTGCAGCCACAACCAATTCCCCCGACCCCTCTCTTATCCACCCGTTACCAGCCATCCTAACCGGCCGTATATCTTTCCGCCGTACGCCCTCGAAAGCGGCCGCCTTTGTTTCAGATATTTATGAGGCGTTTTAATTCGCGCGCCGCGCCGCGCCGCGCCACGCCGCGTCACCCGGCGTCGCCGGGCCTCGGTTCGCGTCGGTTCGCGTCGTGTTTGCTCGGACCTCTCTCTCTATCTCTCGCCTTTACGTTCCACGCACCCCTCGCGCGCCTCCACCACCCATTCCACCCTCTTTCCAGACGCAGGCCATAAGCGCGTACAAACTCTCGCTCGTATATCTCGGTTGAATGGTTTGCGCGTCGCGCGTCGCGCCACGGCTTCTCGCCGTATCGCCTTCCCTTTCGCTTCTCTCGTTCTCTCGCCGTTATTCCCGATCCAAACCTCTCCACAAGCTACGCGACCAAACTCCGAGATCCATTCGTCGATCCACCGCTCTTTTCCCTTTGCTTCGCGACATTCCGAAGAAACTCTGCGTGGCCTACGACTCCGCTTCGCGGCGTAGTCTAGAGTTTAACGGCGGCGGTACGTCACCCTGTCGTTCTCTCCATCCATCCAACCCCTCTCTCTCACTCTCTCACTCTCTCTCTCTCTCTTTCTCTCTTCGTTTGTCTCTCTTGGCCCGTGCTTTCCTTCTCTTTCGCGACGCTGTTACTCTCGCCCGTAACAGGCATCTCGGATGATGCTCTTTCGTTCAACCTCGCTGTCTACGCGCTTTCTCTCTCTCTTTCTCTCTCTCTTCACCCTACTTTCCTCTCGTTCGCTCCTTCTTCGTCTCCTACTCTTGCTCGTTCCCGCGCGACCGACGGCTGTCCTCGTCGCGCTTTTCTTAACAGCCTTCGCTCTCTAAAAGCCCGAGCGTGATCTATGGCAGGACGTTGCGTCACACGGGGAACAGATGCAGTGCTCGTATATTACTCGACCATATCTAGCGGGAAAACGGAGAGCGAGGGAACGAAACGGGGATGCGAAGAAGACTCGCCTCTCGGAAGATCGACGAACTGCGCGAATCGATATTTTTTCCGCTGCTTCTTCTCTCTTCGATAGCTCGGTAGTTTTTAGCCGAGGTTGGGAGAGAGAGAGAGAGAGAGGAGAAACGCGTTGGAAAAGTAGGAAGGAATTGGCGAAGAATGGTCAGGGACGGGGAAAGAGGGGCGCGATAAGGGAGAAAAGGATGGGAGCGCGTGGAGAGAGCAGGAGAAGCGCGCGCGTTCGTGAAAATGCTAGCCAGCTGTCTGCGCGTACAGACAGGAGGGAAAGCGGAGGGGAGCGGTTAGGGTGGGAGGCTCGAAAACGCGCGTCGGCAGGGTAGACACTTGGAGAATCCCATAAATCAGGTCAGGGTTGGCGACGGGGGTGGCTGTGCGCGGCCGTAGTTAGAGAGGGTGGCGAAGGGAGCCGTGCGGCGAGGAGCTAAGGGAGCTAGCTAGCTACGACTCGGAGAGAGCCGTTAGGTAAAGGTCGACGCACAACAAACCCACGCCGAGGACGGGCAACGAGGCGCGCGCATGCTCGTAAAACGTTTGGCGCCAATTCCGTTCGACGAGAGAGACGGATCGGTGCGTCTGACCTAGGGACGAACGCGTTTCTCCTTCGACTTCGTTTTAACCGTCTCTCCCTATCTCTCTCTCTCCCTCTCTCTCTTTCTCTCTCTCCCTCTTCGGATACGGGATCAGTTCGGAGAATTTCGTCTGGAGAATCGAAAAGGCGCGTCGAGTATCGGGAGTTGGAAAAACGTTGCTCGCGGTCCACCTCGCGATCGGATCGAATTCGAAGGGTGGAGCGACGTAGGAGCCCGAATCGATAGCAGCGAATCTGGTAAAAGAAAAGAGAGAGAAAGAGAGAGAGAGAGA